AAGTAATTGACCATGTTCTAGTTTAATATGAATCTCTTCTGTAACACATTCTGTACTCAATCATGTTACTTGCCAATTGACATTGTGTTGAGACACACCCTAATGGCATCTTTAGGAACAGAAGGGCTGCTGTGCAAGGACGGAGTAGGACAGTCAGTCTGTGATGGGGAAATAGACATGAGGATGTTAGGAAGCACAACGGAAAAAGAGAGAGAATTGGGACCGTCTGCATTGCAATCCACAAAATGTTCTACTGCAGTTTGTTTTCCTCCACGCACACACTAATACAGAGACACACACCCTTGCACGCTGTCTGTTTGCAGACTTCTCTCTCTGCCGTAATTGCGGTGACATTTATATTTGCACCTGAAGCCTGTCTGCCAGTTTCCATTACTTGGAGCCAGATATAGAAAGACGGGGACTAGAGTGAATAGCGGATGATTGGAATGAATGTGGAACCAAATGTACCTGAAAGAGCTATTTTGAATCGAAGCCCGACTCCCCTCCGTCTAATGGGGTCACCTACGGAGTGTCTGTGTTCCTAAAGAAACCCCTGATACACCACACATTCATGAAGACGAGGCAGATGTATGTTAACAATGTTTATGTTCTAAGTCATACAGCCGACAGAAACTCAGCCTATACTTCAATGTTTACAACGTAGCTGATTCCCAAGTGTCGGTCGACGTTATTTCAGATTGGGGAGGTTTCACTTGATGACAAATAGCACCCATTCCATCCACTCCCATCCCATAATACTATCCAATAATACCAGTTTTATTGCTTATTTCTTAAGGGCCAAATTGGAAACTTAAAAGACAACAGTAATCATTCTTTGGACGTTCTCAGTTACAATGATATATCTATCTGAATGAGGGATCTTGGCTCTACTGCCGTATCCATTGATCATTCTCACAGTTTTGTCATTAAATATTTATTCTGCTTATTCGCTGGTGGCCACAGTTCAGTAAAGTTCACAGTGATCAGGGAGCCAAAGACAGGCCAACTCATACTGGCATCATGTTGTTTTTTTTGCGAGCAAGTTCAAAGAGCCACATCAACGGTTTCACCTGTTTGTGAAATGCAAAGCTTCAAAAAGCCCGGAAGTGAATTACCATGGTAACAGCAGCTAATATCTCCTCTTTTCCTACCAAATCCCTCAATATTTAATACATGAAGATTTCTTAGCCCAGGGGTCCCTTTGAGAGAGATGCAACACAAACTTGTTTGTCGGGGCCTCTGGTTGTTTACATGACTGGGAGCTTTATCCTCCATCAGCAAACATCAGCAGCTTTCGTTTTTTTTCCCACATGGGTCAATTACAGAGAGGTTGATGGGCTGTCGCAGTGGGGGTGTCAGGCATGCTGGGTTTCAGACGAAGTTGAAACAAGCACAGTGCTAAGAAGAGGAAATGTATTCTAAGAGAGTAAAATTAGTCATTTAGGAAGGAGTGAGGTGGTCTAGTTCTGACACTCTTGCATGACTAGTCTCTCTTACAGATCGATCGATTTAGATTTAGATTTATCTTTTGGTTCTCTTAGCTGTTGTGTGTTTCCAAACATAATTTAAAAACCCTTCTTTCTCAGACAATATGGGACTCCTGGTCCTTGGAGACTTCCTTTGAAGGATAATAATAAATTCACCTCGAATACTTATTCTTAATCTTACATCATTTCAATATGATAATGCATGACTGAAACCCTGGAAACCAACTCGAGACCACACCACTCTGTCTACTTTTCATCGTAAAAACAAAACAAATGTTCGGCACGGTTGATCCTGACAATGGAACAACAATGCAACAGTACTAAGATCATTGAAGCCTGCAGCTAAAGGTGTGTCGCACAGTCGCCTTCTCTGGGACTGAGCACACTGTAAGGGTCTGGTGTGGACATCATGTGCAGGTTTTGGAGCAACATGTGCTGCTAAGTAAACAACGTCTATGTCAGGGAAGGCCTTTCTTATAATAGAGAGACAATTCCAAACCACTTTCTGGATGTATTATAACAGCATGGCTCCACATTGAAATAGCACAGCGGTTAAACTGCAGTCCAGACTATGAAGAACCCCTGAGCTGTTGAGCAGCAGAAATCCTACCTAAGAACTGGAAAATGTTTCACTTTCAAAAATGTAAAAATAGCTAAGCCTTCAGTACTTCTATATATCTATTTTTACACATCAATTGGTTCATTGGCTCAGTTTTGGTACACTTTAAAATATGTCTTTGTGGAGGTTTATTGGTGAACATAAAACAAGAAATGGTAGTTTTGTTCCAACAACTGTCAATGCTTTATTGGGACAATGCAACAGACAAGCAAACAATATGTTCAGTGCAGGTCAAAGCAACATAAATCATCAAGGAAACAGTAGACAAAGAAAATATTAAGCTTCCTTTTCATTAAAGTTTGTTTTTTAATACCAAGTTCTAAATTGATGTTCTTTTTATATCCTTCATTCCTTTGTATATTGGACGCTTTAGGCGAAAGCCTTGACTGAGACCTGCTTAGATCTAAAAAAAAAAAAAAAAAATGCCCTTGTGAATATACTGCTTACTCACAGTACTTTGTAGACTGACAGAGTCGTTCACTCATCACGCAAGATTATGCAGACACCATTCAAACCGAAATCCAGCTGTAATCTCTCCCTTTCATTTCCACTGCCCATTTTTTTTCCCCCACTCCTTTCCACCATTTCATCCTGCTATTTCAAAGATCATCAGCAATTTGTGAAGGATACATTTTTCACAGCCGTCCCTCGGCTGTTCCGTCAAAGAACTGATGCGCAGATAAACTCGACATCCAGACATCAAACACCTCTGAGGGATGTAAAAACTTAAAGAATTCAGAATGTCGCACTTAGTATTCTCTTATTTCTTTTCCCTTCTGCGGTATCAAAGGCTGTCTCTGAATAGCTCCCAAAAAGCTGACAGTCATAGTCACCTTTGTTAGGGTACATTTGTCGGACTTAATTAATCATTGTCTGGTTGCTGATTGCTGAAGCTTCCTATCATATCCTCTCTTTGATGCATCCACTTTAGTTTCAGTCAGAACGCACACCCGGGAGAGCAGTGTGGTTTTGGATATGCAAATTCACACCCACCTCAGAGTCTTATTTACCTTGTTAATTTATTAAGAGGAGTGATTAGACAGAGTGGGTGATGGGTGACTGCACTCCAACATGAACCCCGGATCAAAGAGTGGGTGTGCATGAAGCTTGAAATGGGTCCGTTGGCCCCATAGGGAGGACTTTGTTTATGCTCACCACTTAGACTCAACTCCCACACGGATGGCACCAACACATAGTAATCCATCCCACACAAAAAACACACCTACAGTACTCTACCTACCGTGCATGAAACAAAGCCGACTCACTGGAACAACCACTTGCAGACCCTTACACAAACATGAGACACAAGTGGCATCTCAACAATTAAATCTAGAGCTTTGTTGTCAGTTATTGTTCTTTAAATTCTAATAACCACATTACATAATAATCCCATATTCACAATAAGGAGGACCCCGTAAATTTTGACTTTTGGTCCAAATTCTTGTGTCAATTATGTCACCTGGGGCAGCTGACATTTCCAAATATCAGACGGAGATATAAGATGTCCTCTAGATGTCCACTGCGTCCTCAGGGAAGACTCTGGGAAGATTTCAGCGATAGATCTTTGACACTCTCACTGCCATTTGCAAACATGCACAGTCACCCGTGAGAGATGTTACAAATAGAGAAAAGTCCTGAGACAGTATTTGAAGTGGATTTTCTTTATTCCACTGGACAATAATTATCATATCCTGAATGGACATTTTTTTTCTGCCTAAGTGTGCAGGCATAACACAGCAGCAGCATTGTGTTTGAAAGAAATTGAATCATGGAACAGAGAGCTGACAATCATAAGTTATGCAACACATTTCAGGAGTGATGTAGTTCTGTTTCATCTTCTAGTTTGTATACTTCTCTTCTTCTCTTCTTTTCTCTTTTCAGCAGCTGCACAGATTGCTTTTGACAGTGGAAATGACTTCACAACAGAATGACCTTTTTTCTATTTCTTCCAGGATGCTGCAGATACCAAAGATAGCACACGATGAAATTCCTCTGTCCATCTTTCTTCACTTCCACATCCTCTCATGATCAAAATATGCTGAATGTATTGTTTTTTCTTTTCTCTTTGAAATTTCCAACCATGATTGTGTTTTTCTACAATGCAATAATTTCTTTTTTGGTTTTCTCTTACACATATTTACAGTCGGCCCATTTTATGTCCACCTGGGGACATTTTCCCTAGAGATTTCCACCTTTACGAGTCATCAAAACTTGATTGGCCCCCGCCCAGTACTAAAGAACGCCATTTTGAAAATGGACTTGACCCCATCGCCGACCAAGCCACCTGACCAGATTAGCCTCCCAGAGTGAATACTTATGAATACTAATGCACTTCTCCCTTATTTCCTTCCCTGCTCCAAACACCCCTCATCTAAACTACCCCCCCCCTCCCTGTGGAAGTTGATTTGCTAACTCTTGTCTCTTTTACTAACAACAAGCTTCAGAATTCTTCCAATTTGATTCTTTTCATTGGTGGATTTTCTTTTCCCTTTTTATGATTTCAACAACTAACACTGTGTCATTCACGGAATGTGAGCCATCTGTTGTTTTCTCTACTTAACCTGCGACTTACATACTAACAATGTATTGTTATCCTTTGATTCCTTTTCTGTTCTTTACTACTTTTAGTTTCTAGCCTACCCATTTAAACCAACACAGTTGTACAATTGCTTTCTTTATTTCTTGATTTGGATGTTTTTAGACAATAGGAAAACGATGCATTCTTTTCATATTTTACTATTACTTCCAATTTTTCGCTCAAATGGAGAAGCTGGTTTTGCCAAAGGCACATTTTTTTTTTCTTTACAACTTTTTTGGGGTTGAGGTGTGTTTTCTTGAGTTTAAGGTTTGTCATTATTTTTTTTTCTTTCTCCTCCCCCTGTTTTCTCCTGAAGCACGCAGGCATTGGACACGCTATGGTAAACAAACTGCATTATATGGTAGATATCATTCTAATTGTCTTATACTTTGGTTTGCCCTGGGTTTTCCGTTACCTCTTTCTATTCTGTTTGCTTTACTGAAAGTACAATCCGCCATCAATTCCAAGGTAGCTGAAAAACTCCACCTCTCTGTTTTTCTTTTTCTTTTAGCCCTCTCTATATATCTGTTCTTGCTTTTTATTACCATCCAGTTCTTCCCTTCCCCGAAAACAGTTGACGTGTTCATCCAAAGAGGTCTGCCCAAAAAAACAAACAGAAATTTTATCAATTTAGATTTTGAAGATTATCTTTGTTTTGTTGTTTTTTCCCTGTCCCTTTTCAGTTTTTTCTGACTTCTGTTTGACTTGAAACACTATCCGTATGAAGAAATAAAGAACCATAATGCAAGATTTTTCCAAATTGGATTTTAAGAAAAGTGTTACCTTTATTTTTTTTGTTATTCTCTGTTCCCTCCTGATTTATTTTCTTAGAAAAAAAAAACCTATGAAGTGAGCGTACACAGCAGAGTTCTCAAGCAGACAAATCGCCTCATGTGGCAATTCCAGTGAGAGGAAGTAAAGAAACACTTTTTTCATTAATTCCCCAAACCTTTTCCCAACGTTTGGGGAAGGCAACTGATGAAACAACAAAGACATCTTGCCATGTCGCCTCAGCTGGACCCTCAGCTGGACCCTTATTCAGACTGTTGCAGTGCGACTTGTTATCTAGGCCAGCCATCCTGTGCTTTATAGAGTCATGAAGAGTATTTACAACTCCTGATTTAGTGGCCGAAGCCCTCACTGTAAAGTAGGCCTCAAATGAGGGCTCGATCCCATTAGAGGCCTTGGGCTGATTTATGATGGAGATGGAGCTGTTCCCACATCTGCACCTGAACACTTTCCCTCTCTTCCTCACGCGTGTACACACTTAATAAAGTGCTTTAATGTGCTAGTAGTCCCTTGAACTTAGGTGCAGAAATGATCCAACCTAGAGAACTGATGAAGCTCATTACAAGCAATAAAATTGCAATTACACTTTTATTAAGCTGCAAACTGGGTGCAGTTTGCCAAAACAAGCCTCTGACTGAAACCTCACTGAGATCTTATTTTAAAACTGGAATTAGGCTGAATGTACTTAAAGCTCCTCCTCCGAGTTTTTTTTTTTTTAGCTTGTTATAAAACAGACTGCTATTATATCAATGCTCTATATGACCTAAAAAGCAAATGAGACCATCAGCAACGAGATTGACTTTTTCTATTTCATTATTTTCAAGATTGGAAATTGCTGGTGCAGGGTAGGTGTCAGTGGATTCATTTTCCAGATTAGATTAGATTAGATTTTTGACTGTTTAAAAAAAATTGGAGGAGTTTGTTTTGTGATTAAACTCTAAAGAGTTACAGAAAAACATCAGCAAAAACTGCTTTGGCCACAGGGGCCGCCAAAAAAGGCTTAAACCAGAGTTCTTCACAGGAGCTTTAAGTGTGATCAATGTTGACTTGTAGACCAGCCTTAGCTTACATTTATCATAAGTCTTACTTCCTTTCACTGGACTCTATTAAATAAACTAAGACATTTTTCCATTGATACAGACCTTAAAGGGAAATGCCTGAGAACGTCTGTACTGTGTGCGATCGCCCCCTCATTAACACTAACACTAACTTATATTTCTTATACTTTACTGGCCTCACCCCTCGCATGAAGAAACTTGACCCCTCTCTTAAAATCTTTTTTTTTTTACGTTGTTTTTTTTTATATAAAGATTGCATTGAGTATATATGTTATGTATATATCATGGCTAACATATATACATACATATATCAATTGTCCTAATATAATCAATATGGCCATAAAACATGTTAGCCACACCCTTCTGCTGTTTTGTTTGTTTGATTTTTACTTTGTTTATTTGTTTACTTCTATTAGTTTACCTTCAAAATTAACTTACTAAAATGAATAATGACCTCACGCCATATCTTGCTGAAACAAAAAAAGGGGAAAAAGTGAAGGGGGTGGGGGGAGGGGACCGACTTTCATTTTCTGGGTGAATAGAGAATTGAAGCCTCAAGGAACAAATCTGCACCAATCAATCATAACACACGAGTTAGAGAAAACTGTTGAAAGAGTGTGCATAGCCACTCTATCTGGTGGTGACTCACTCAGTCTTGGCTCAAATTTGACTAAAGTGATGAAGCAATTTTGAGCTTCGCATCAGGAATACAGAGACATTCTACTAGAGGTATAATGAGAACTGCAATCACGACTGAGTACAGCTTTTGCTGTTTTGCATATATCATGGAGGGCAGAGATAGTGTTGATATGGTTCGCCCTGTCATTGGAATACTAATTTCTCTATTCACCAAGACATGGATGTCCTCTCTCCACTCTCAATTTTCCCTATTCTTTAAAAAACCCTCTCATTTCCGTTGATTTCATCTGTGATTGGTCACATCCTGTCCCACTTCCACTTTCCAAACTGACAGTACCCACAGTACCCAGTGGTCGTGTCCCTGCACCCTGTTTGCATGTCTCTCCAGGCTAGAACACCCTCCCATCAGCACACACATCTCTCAGTGTAAATGCTGCTCTAGCCCAGCACGTGTCAGTCTGTTGCACACGTGTCTCGATGGGTTTTTTGTGTTGCATTCTTGTCCAAAAAAATAATAACCCATACCATTGAAAGCTCTTTTCCTTTCCCCATTTGTCCGGTGTTTGCGGTGCCCCACAATTAAATTCACTTCCCCACTTCTTCACCATTTTGCTGCATCTTGCAAGTTGTTTTTTTTTCTGTTTAATAATTGGTCTGTTTGTGTTGTCTAATGGAATCCCCCATCCCCACATCCCCATTCTTCCTGTCAACTTCCCATGTAAGTGCATGGCTTGTGTGTCACCCTCTTAGCCTGAATGGGTTCATTTTGTTTCCTCTTAACCAAAACAAACCCTTGTCACATGAAATAACACATTCAGTCCAAATCTGGACCTGGTTTGAGCAATCAAATTGCAGAGGACTTTTAAAGAATCCTCACTGATCACATTGACTAAATTTACTAAAACAGCGTTACTAATCTACTGTTTGAATCAAACCTTTTTTGTAACTGTACTAACAACCATTTTTGTGTCTGACTTTCCCTTACTTACAAAAGTACTAACCGATTTTGTTCACCCTCCAACCCTTTCAACTCTTCTCGGTATCAGCTTAAGAATCCCCCCCTTCCTCCCATTTCTCTCCCCCATCCCCATGGTAACTGTTGCAAAAACAGTGCTCGCCCCAAGTTCCCCAACTCTCCCAAATCTTTACTAACCAAGAAACATCGCTTAGTTGAAAACTCTTTATTTAGAATTCAATGAAAATTTTTTAAAAAAATACACCCTGCCATTGCATTTTGACAAGCTGCCAGACACCTACTGAAGTCCAACTTTGGATAGAAATCTTTCTCTTACTCTCTTCAACATCCAACCATCATGCCAGTACACCTGGTCTGGCTTTATCCTAAGCCAATGGGTGGGGGCACTGTGTGTTATTATGTTTTATATGTGAGGTTTCAACTGTATGACTGAATATATTGTAACACTTCCCCCCCTGATAAAGCTCTCTGACAGTAGTCAAATGTAATGCCAACAAGGGTAAGTGCTTCACTTTCAAGGTAAGCATGTTGCTTCCTCTCTTGGACAGATAACGATGATGAATATGTGAAGGCACAGGTAGGTGGCTGTACTTAGTGGTTTAAGACAGAAATTGCTTGCAAAGGAAACACAGACTCTGAAAGAAGGAAAATTTGGACGATCAAACTCCCAGCTCGTTTGGGAATCAAAGGTAAAACATGATCGGAAGTTAGACTTTTTTCTGACAAAACTATTTTTCATTGTTGGTATCGAAGACCTAACAACATATACCTTCCAAACTTATAATTATAAAATTCCTCTTTTATCCCCTTTTCCATTTTGGTATTGGTATAGCTAACATACACCTCAAGGCCCTTCTTGTGATTGTCATCATCCTGAAAAATTAAACCATTTCCAATCAAGCCAAAGACTTTAGCACAGTACTGTCCATGACACCAATCCTGCCAACTTTGTAGGTTTCATACCGTTTTCTCAGACTTTTTAAGTTCTTATTCCAATTAAATGAAGCCTTTATGTTAATTTTCCCAGTCACATTCTTGATTTTTTTCTTTTTCTTGGCTTTATCTGATTATACATTAATGCAGGTTTTGTACTCAGTATGTTTGTCTATAAGTAAATAGAATGGGATTGGGACTCAAACTCACTCAAATGAAACACAATGTACCAAAAACAGGATTTGGTTAGTCCTATCATATGGTGCAGTTTTTTACTGCATTCAATAAGACTGGTGCAATTTCAGAATGATCTGTGATAGTCCCAGAACAGTTGGAATCGTGTTGACCCCCATTTACTTGATGTACTTCATGGGGCGTTCAGTTGCCCCCAGCTCACAACCATAAAGCCAGATTTGGTCTATGAGCCAGTAACACGCTCAGCTAAGCACTACGCAGGGCTCCACACAGAGAGCAGCTCTACTTCCCCATACCCTACAAAAGCTTTGTTATTGTGTAGGCAGTTGGTGGTATATGAGTAACAAGCATAACAGAGAAAACAAATTGATTGAATACAATGGGAGGTTAATAACATAACAGAAACCATTCGCCCACCACGGGAGCATGTGAATGGGCGAAATAAAATGCTTCTGATGATTTGAATACCAAGCAACGTGAATCATTTAGCAGTGCATTCAGCTGTAAACAGCACCCGTCTGTGTTTTCTATTTCTGTCTGGTACACAGAGTTCAGCACAAAGCAGGAAGGTATGTTTGGTTTCTGTGTGTACCTGGCTAAACAGGATATTTGAAGAGCAGCTGGATAAAAAACAAAGAGATCCAACTGGAGCAGGAAGTTGGATTTAGAAAGGATCAGTTTAGTTTTCTAACCAATAATCCCATTTTTAAGAATGAGCTGATATTTCTTGACCAGATTCATTTCATTGAGATTTTGCCCATTTATTATTTGAAATGAATCCAACAGAGTTAAAATGTCATTGAAAAGGAGAAAAAAGCTGAGATAGAAATTTGTTAAAGCAGCCATTCACATTTTTTTTAATTTTTGGGCTTTTCGTGCCTTTAATTCAGAGAGAGAACAGTGGATAGAGTCGGAAACCAGGGAGAGAGAGTGGGGAATGACATGCGGAAGGGGGCCACGGGTGGAAGTGAGCCTACCGCTCGAGACGAGAGTCTCAATACATGGAACGCGCGCCCTAACCATTGCGACACCAGCGCGCCCCAGCCATTCACATTTTTGTGTAAATCAGATGAATTCTTGGATTGTGACAAAAAAGAACAAAGAAGTGATTACACTGTCACAAAGACTGATTTCCACGCCCAATATTAACTTGAGCTCAGGCACTCTTAAAGACAAAAAACAGATTTGTTTTCACACAGTAAACAACACATTAGGAATAATGAATTTGTCCTGTAGGCTATCATTACCATAAGGTATAAAGTAATCACACTTGGAGCCCATAGTCGAATATCTTGGGGAGCTTATACTAGAATTATTAAACTCATGGCATTTTTTTTTAAAGCAAAACATTGAGGGACTGTACGGTTTCAGCACCTGATGTTAGCTTCTTATCCCTTGACCATCGTTACCCTATACCGAAGAGGTGGATCCAGAGTATCTAGACTTTATTATGGTGAAACTCAGCTGCTGTCGGTTTTCACCAAAGGGTCTCTCTTGGATATTCTACTTCTCTTGGAGATGAGTAAAATATCCACAATAACATTTTTTGAGAGAAAAAGCAGAAAAAATTTCCCTCGCAAATTCTCTATGTATGACTTCTTGTAAATCATTTAACGGAAAAATCTATCTCCCATTCTGAGATGTGAAAAGCTTATTTCATCCACACTTACTTCCCGACCAGGGGCACCGGGGTATCTCCACTATCAACTTTTAAAATCAGAAACCATTACCCCCTCTGTCCAGTGATGCAAAGGCTTGTAATCCTTCACATTAAAACAAGTCTCCAGTCCAGCTCACTTGTAAATGATTAACCAATCACGTCAAAGAAACATTTGGACGTTTGTTCTACTTTTACATATTTTTAGGCAAACATACATGTGTTTCTTTTGGCTCTTTGGCATATTGTCTTTTGGAGTTTTATTGGTGTATTTGTCTAACCTCTGTTCAAGCGATATATCAATTCATAAATTGTGGTTCCTGCAGTCATATCATAGATACAGTGCTCAGACTCAAAGCTTTGATGACCCATTGCAGCAGTGTAATCTTGTTTTATTGAGAGGGAAAGAGAAAGAAAGGGGAACATTTATTGCAAATCTCCAATTATCCCTTTTAAATTGAGAACTTCAGAGATGTCTGGCAGCTAGCAATGGTAGTCCCTCAGAGCCTCAGTGGGCGCATCAAACCCTTAAAAATACCATCAACAACCCTCCATAAAAAAGGCCCCAAAACCCAGAGATAGCCAGTAGCATGGCAATAAAAATATTGATACTGTTTAGTGCTGTTACCAACGTTTACATTTGAGAAACTTTGCAGGTTTTTATCTCTATCCTTCGATTAGTTGTTATATAGCTTTTTTTTCCGCATGAAGTCGAGCCATCAGTAGATGGTTTCCCATTGGTACCATACGATTCTGTAGGAACGTGTTAAATCCCCTTCGCCGTCAGACTCCCGGTCCCCTTGTTTCTCCTCATCTACCAAACGTAAATTGTCTTTTGTCGCTATGAGTTACAGGAGGTTGCTTCCGCAAAAGCCCCATCCGAGATCTTCAAAGATGACCCCCAGCACACCACCACTATATACCGATGTTCGCTCTTTCCTACCGACTAGCCACAGCAGACATAAAAATGAGTTGCCCTGTTAAGAAGGGAAGTACAAAAAAAAAAAAAAAACACTTCAACAATGAAAACCTTTAAGAAAAGGAGAAGACACGCACTCAGCTGGGGCTACTGATCTGTTGAGTGCAGTTGCTAAGATTTTCAGGTTTGTTCTTTAGAGAGTTCAACTTTAAATTAAATTCATTTGATGTCTTTTGCTTTTTCCTCTGCAAAACTGTGGAAAATTATCACATTGTTCCTCAAGATCCAACATTAAACATTAAGGACTTCCAAATGCAAAATCGTATTCAAAATTACCATAATTTAATGTTGGACCGCAGATGAAATGAAGATAATTTACCCTAGCTCCACTTCTGAGTTTGCACAGGTAATGGAAAACAGATGGTTGTGTACACATCTCTCCACAGTTTCCAGTGTTAAAAAGTGAACATCCATGCAGAATAACAGATGTTGAATCAGAGACACGAGTGCTTCACTTTGGCCCAGACCAGCTCAATTAGGATAATTAGACAATAAATTGGTCACTCACTGCAATAATCCGTCCCAAATCAAACAACGTTATTTGTCAGGATGTCGGCAGAGCGGCATAGCTGCAGATCTGATAGCAGAAACAATTAGCCAAATTATACTCATTAGCATCTTGTAGAAGCCGAGCAATTTGTTGCAGTCTATTGAATGCAATGTAGACAAAAAAGACTTATATTTGTCCAGGAATAAAGAACACATAGTGGAGGAAATCTGTATCTGTATTTGAGATGCATTCTCATGTGTTGAAGGAATGTAAAGTCTTATTGGACTCAGTGTTTAGGAATTCTTTGAACTGCCCAGGTAGGACCCAGGGTTGCATCTAAAATAGCTCAAGTCATCTTATAAAGTTTTGCTTCAGATCAGTTCAAGAGTAACCTGTTTCAGTAATGTGAGTTTCTGATACTTAATATTACAGACATCAAAATTCAATTTCACCTAAAATAATGTGGGGAAAACTTAGAAATGAGCCGTGAGGATTATCAAAGGAACCCCCTTTATTAATCGTTTTTTAAATTAATTGTTGCGGATAGTAAGTCTTGTTTCTACATTTCAGTGTGCTCGATCTAATACCATTTGCCCGCGGCTGTGTGTTTGATTCCACTACTCGCTTGCTTGTTCCCTTAGCTATCAAATGTGCTGCCCAGGCGGTGTAACACTCAACAAAAAGATGAAAACCTGAGGCAGTTGAGTATTGAAAAAGGATTTATTTTTGGCGGTAGTTATTGGAGTGAGGACTGGTTTGTAAAAGGATTGTTGATGAAAAGCTATTCAAATCAAGGGAAGATTTACTTCTGCAACATTTAATTCAGGGTTTAGTTTAGAGATTTGTTGCACGATAGCAACAAGTTGAAAAAAAAATGGTTTTCTTGCTTCCACTATTTCTATAACACATCCACTCCTGATAGAGTTTAGACAGCGAGCACAGCACTAGAGATCTCTTAGCAACTGCCCTCTAGAGTGAAAGTCCCCAGTCTGACCTGCACCAAAAGAAAACCAACTAAGCACTACCATGTAAGGGACAGCGCTACCTATCACCAGTGTTTAATTCAATTTCTTCCTTGTTTTTCCTCCTCATTCTTCTAATTTCTCTACACTCTCATCACTCTCGATTTCCTATCCATCCCTGCTCTATTGTTTTTCTCCTCTATCCCTGTCTCTCTTATCTGTCTCTTTCGGGCCACGCCTATGCCAGGTGACCATCTCAGTGGATGGTATCTTGACCACCACTGGTTACACCCAGGAGGATTACACCATGTTGGGCTCCGATGACTTCTTCTACATCGGAGGGAGCCCCAATACAGCCGACCTACCCGGATCACCAGTCAGCAACAACTTCATGGGCTGCCTCAAAGACGTGAGTGGCTCTGTGGGATTTGACAGTTTTTATGAACATGTTCTGTTGGAAGCTCATCAAATTTGCAGCCATGCCCAGCCTCTTCTTTGTATTGCATCTCCCTGCCTTATACTGGAGAGTGGAACAGATTCCAGCTTGCAGGGTGCAGCTAATTTAAAAATATCACACTGAGCTTATGCCTTGACTGCTCACAGGGTTTGGTCATTTTCTTTTGCCAAACTGTTACCTGCTTCCACTGAATCAGTCCAACATATACCTTGATCCTTATATTTAGCTGGAGTTTAGTACTGGTGCTGCCTGTTGCTGACTTAGGACTAGCATTATCCGTGGCAATGGGTATATATCCTTTTTTTCCTGGAGCTAATAGGAAATCAACTATATGGTCACACCAGAAGTTATACCTGAAACAATGAATAATTAGTTACTAATACTGGCACCTTCTACTAAAGGATGGGTGGCCAATCAGAACAAATGGCCTAATGGTTGCTACTTTTATTAAAGCAATGAACAATCTGGAAAGCATTGATTGTCTAAGTAATGACATTGGATGCATTTTGTCAAAGGAAGTTAGAGACAGGTTCTCTACACTTATTCAGACATTTATCACAGCTTCAGGCCTGGCGTTCAGCGTAAGGTGAAACACAAACAACCCGATGCATGTATGTGTCAGAATATACGTTTTCTTGCAGCCACGAAGCAACAAAACAAAGGAAATTGAAAATGTGATATCAATTTGCAACTTGAGTCTCTTTTTTTTGTAGGCGCTCTTTCCGATGCATAATGAGATACAGGCAGAAAGGAAAACAGGAGGATATTTCATGTACTGCTGTGCAGCTTCAAACAGCTTAACAAGTGCAAAAGTTCTGCAAATTTTCAAATTTCATGTACATTTCTGTGAGAGGAAAATTATATTCATTAAAGCTCCTGTGACGAGCTTTCAGTTTGTGTTGATTTTGGCGCCCCCTGTGGATAGCAAGGTGATTTTTCACTTCTAAAAAGTATTTTCCTGTACATATAAGTAATATTTTCTGGTTTGACAAATACAACTCCCCCATGTCTTTAATGGTTATGTCTAATGTGCACAATGACTCTTTGGCGTGGAAGATTTTCAAACAGGCTGTTTCAGAAGCATGACGTCAACTGACTGTCTGACACCCTGCGGCAGGGGTTAACAGGCATGAAATCAAAAGTAGAAATAGCCAGTTATCTCTCTAGTGGTCATATTTGCTTTTGTAGGTCTTATAGAGGCATCTGTGATAATTTTAGTCTGTTTCATACCCAGCTAAAGCTACTCAAATGAGCTGTAAATACAAGGCAAATAACATGAAAATGTCTGAAAATTTGGGGCAAACCACATAAACACACGAGTTAACTTTGTCATCTTACCCGAAGTAACACGGTTTGTCATTTAGTCCATAGCAGAAGTGCAAAGATGTTTTTTTGTGTGTTTATTTGGAATAAATTGGCAGAGGAAAGTACACAAACATACATATATGACAGAGCTGCAGGAAAACACATGCAACATGTTTGACTGATTGACTGACACGTCATCCTCACACATTCCCACACTAAAACATTTGTGTTGACTCCCAACACAGCCACTTGAGAGTAATCAGTCTGTGCTGATTTTTACTCTCATGCAGGATGGTAGGAGGTGTTAAACATACAGTTTCCTGAACTTCTTTTGAGTGTTTACTTCCTCCCTCTCCTGCTAACAGCGTTGCATACCAAACACCTCCACAGGCATTCAGCATCAAACAAATAGACAGATTCAGATTTACACTCATAACACACACTCTTAATGCACAGCCACTTAAAGACGTGGATGGAAATGTAGAGGACAGTTGCCTTGTAAAAACTTTATTCTTACATCTTTGACAAAAAAAAAAAAAGACTTATATTTCCTCCGGGGTTTTAATTCACGGCCTAACAAGCTGCCAAGAGGACCAATCACTGCTTAACGTATTATGCCCTTGTAAATGTAATGACTTGTGTAGAGGCGACGCAACATGGTGCCATCGCATTTCCTCATAAAACCCGCGCTGATTGAATAAGTAATTACTTTTGCCATCACTTTTAATGGATCGCACAGTAATCGGCCTATCTCTAACTTAATTACGCCTGCAGAATTACATTTTCATTATTTGGGTTTGCTATCGGAAAGGATCCCCAGTGGGGTCTTAAACTTCCCAAGGCGTTTAACTATCTTCGCTCTCATCAACACGAGGCTGGATTTACAGTCGACGTACAGACAGAGCACAGGGGAGGGGGGATGGGTGTGAACAGTGGAGGACAAAAATGACAATGGTGAGAGCTAACAGGAGAGGTGAAAATGAATCAGTGTGAGTAAAGACCTGGGAACGGGATGTCAGAGCAGATGGTTTGAGAACAAGAGTGTGTAAGGCTGTTTGTAGTGTAGAAAGAGAGGAGGCTAAACAGAAAAAAAAACAAAGGAACAAAGGAGAGATGAATTAAATCTGCAACTTTAATATTTATGTTATAGAAAAAGGGAAAATGGTTCAATGAAAAATGTAGCAGTGAGTGACATTTTAATGGATTTCACAGTGCAGACAAGAGTCAAAGAAAGGAATGCAAAGGTAAAAAGTGTTTGTTGAAAGGTGAGAGTGTGCGAGAGCAAGGAGAGAAAGCTTCCAGACAAACATCTCAGAGAGGCGAAGCGTTACAGAAAACATCAAACATCAAACATTGGCATTCATGGTTGACCTTCTGCCAAGGGCGGCGGCTCTTTTCTTATTCACTTTTAGTTTGGGTCAGCACTGCAAAACATGTCTCAAAGCCTTGTCAAGTCAAGTATGAATCTGAAAATGATGTTTTTCCTCAAATCAAGGGAAATACGTTTGCTGACAGCTCGATGAAACCCTCTCTTCTTTTTCCTAGAGGCTGAGTTTAGATAGATACGTTTCCATATTGTTCTGTTGGTGTTAGGTTTATTCTGAAGTTGTACACAGTACTTTAGTGATTTAGTAATTGACGCCCTAACATAGTTTCCCCTGAAACTACGCTCTGTGTAATATTTTATCCTAGCATTGCCATAAAGGACGGTTATTGATGAGTTAACTTAAAGTACCACAGTTAACATAAGAGACAGTTTTAAAATTCACTTATGAAGTTGATAATCTGAACAAGTAAAAGAAGAAATGTGTAGATTCAAAGAAAGAAACCTGCAGCCTGCTGCAACACCATACAAATGGTGGATTTTCAGAGAACCCGCCTCTTACAAAGCACAGTTACATACTGCTCCTTTAACATCAGACTTATGCAAAGCACAGATGTGATTCTACATAAGAAATTGTACAAAAGAAACATTGTGAAAAGATGTAGAGAAGAGGACATATTGATAACTCTTGTTAAATTCAATATTTTAGTCAAGTATTTATTTTTCTCCACCGAGTGACTGTGTGTCGATATTTGTGTTGGAGTAGAGTAGGCAGTCAGTACTGTTTACTTTTCCTATATTCTATAGCTCCACTTGTTCAGTTATCTATTTTTATTGAATTAAATGACCAACTTAAATATACCAAAGCCTTTATAAACTACTGTATGGTTAGGTTGGAGCTTGATTAAAGACTGAAGGAGGATTTTTGGAGCATGCTCCCAGACCATCCATCTTATCATGTTCTTATCCCTTTTTCTGGTGGACTGGAGCTTTCTCCTTTCATAAATTTAGATCCATGCTTTGCAGCTAGTTGAGCCACCTGATTTGCAAGCAAAAGCATCAAATTTCAAGTTTTAAGTGCTAGCACAACCTCCATCATTCTGAACCAGGAAAGAGGTAGAAAAGGGAGGTGGAAAACAACACAAATTGCAGAAAATATATATTTAAACTAAATCATATATTACCTCTTTGGTTTGCCAATTTTAATTTTAATTGTGTGGATGTTAGTTATGCAGGATGAAGGTCGAAACACTTCCTGTGCATTTATGAAAAGAATAACCTGAGGGAACACTAGTCCTCTACAAATCAGGATTTATATGAAATAGTTGGATTCAGACCCTCGAGTCTTCTGGTTTTGGTCCCTTACTGGTGAGAGAGATAAAGTGTTTGATCCAGTCTTCAGCTTCCTGGAAACCTGAGCTTACCCGGTTCTGCTGTTGTTGAGTCTTATGAGCTCGACTTCCTAGCTGGGGTCGAACTCTAATGACCACATCAGCTGAACGGAGCCAGAGAGGGGAACCAGGCATAAAGTTACCGAGACAACCTGCAGTGAGAGTAACCGAGGGCTGCAGGTAGAGTGGTAGTAGTGGCTCCAAAAAAAAAAAAAAAAAGTAAGTAGACGGGGGGTAGACAGCGGTGTGTTTCATCCTGTGCAAGTTCAGTGGCACAGCTCGGATTATCAGTGGTGTTATGGTCCGGGGCAAGGCTTTCATGCCGCCACCGTGGTCAAACGCCTTTGATACGCTTGGCCGGCCCCCTCCAGGCAGCTGAAATCCAAAGGAAGAGCACAGCAGAAGACGAGTAAAAAGGCACCAAAAGAGGCTCTGAAGCCCTATGAAGTTTTTATTTGCCGTGTGTGTGTGCTCCTACGTGTGTGTGTGTGTGTGTGTGTGTGTGTGTGTGTGTGTGTGTGTGTGTGTGTGTGTGTTCAAAGTCACCCACATGCCATGATCATACGCTGTGTGATGTATGCATGTTTTTTTCTCAGCTCCCAGTCAGAGTGGTGGGCTGTGAAATCAGGTCTCTCCCCCCCCCCCCCCACACAGTCTTGTTTCCACAAATTCTTCTCTCCTGCACGTCACCATCTGTCTCTCCTCCACCTACCCTCCTCCTCCTCCTCCGCCTCCGCCTCCCCATCTCCCTCCCAGACAGTGACCTTGCTATCGCCAATTTCACACTCCTCCCTCCGTGTCAGTCGTTTTCTCACTCTCTCTCTCTCCTCCTGCTTCTTCTTCTCCTCCTCCTCACTCTTCCCACCTCCCTCATCACCGCTCTCCTCCCCTCTCTGTCTCTCATCTTCCCTTTCTCGGGGGCAGTTTTGTGT